GGAAAATCTCTAATCTTTGCCCGTAATAAACAAAAAATGCTAAACTCTAATGGAATATTAGACAGCAGATGAAATAGTTTACGTAAAGAAATCCTCTATAACGTTTATTTCATCCAATCGTTTTAATATTTAACTTTTTTTTAACAGAACCAAACCTTTTCTTTTCAAACTCTTCTACGACAAAGATGTCTAACATTATTTTAATAATATGGCACAAAGTGATTATGCCGGATCATCCACACAAGAAAACCCCCAGAGTTCCTTATATTGAAGTTTACTGTGGTTTTACACCACATGAACAGAACTGATTAAACATTCAGAGCATAAACACATTAGTTTACTTTGCTGCAAATTATACAAAATACACAATTTAAGAAGCTTAAATAAACATACCACTTTGGCCTGCTAGTGGACAAACCGGAAGCTAGAAAACACTTGTCTTTCTTCTTAATTGCTCTCGCAGACTTTGTTTGCGTCACTAATTACCAAGAGTTACAAAAAACAGGAAGTGACGTCATTGTATTCTTAAATTTAACTGTTCACCGTCATGAGATACTGAAAAAAAAAAAAAATCTCAGACCTTCCTTACTTTCATAGCTGAAAAAAAAAAAACATGAAAAAGAAAAACTGAGCGCTTAAAAACAAAAGCTTTAAAATAACTTCTTTATGGCATCAGTTCCGACAGCTACCTCTGGTGGTGAAAACATGAATTACAATTACCCCCACTACTGTTACAGTGATCTTTACTGGATGAGGTTCAATCCCTTCAAACTCAACTTCCTTTTATTCAAATATTTATTTTAAATGTTTGAAATCCTGGAAAGATAAACAATTACTATTTTTACCCCCCTTGCATCTGTTGGCTAAAGAAGCAGAGGACTTCTGTCTCTTCAGCTGGCAGATCCAGACAGACAGGAGGAGTTTAACCCAGAGCAGAACCCAAATCCTGGGAATACTGAGTGAGTGAAGGTGCAAAGTGTTTGAGGCTACTTTGTAGAAGGACAACATTCCTGCAGGTTGGTCCAGAAAGACTCCTCCTCTGTCCTATAGAGACAGATGTTGTCTTTATTTTATGCAAAGCTTGGACATCATGTTAATCACTCTGTAATCTACAAGACCGGTCTTCACAATCTGTGATATCCTTAATCAGGATTACACAAACATCTCATTAAAAATAATATGTTAGAGATTCAAACCTGGCATTATTATTATTTTTCCAAGTCTGTAAAAACATTAACATCCTAATGGTATTTGTTCAGGCAGAACAATAGAGATTAAACTAATCTGCAGTTCTCTGTATATTTACCAAGGCTGCCATCTACTGGACAAACAGATTATTACATCCAGCTTTTATATAACTGCAGCTTGAACCTTTTTAACCAAACTTCTGAGCTGAGTGTTTCCAGTTGGGTTTTTATATTCTGTTCTGAGGGTCTGCTTTTCTGCTCCTTCTAGATGGTTCTCCGTTTCCATAGAAACAGGGTAACCACTAACCCATCCAAAAAAATAACCGAGTGTATCTCACATTCAAAGTAACGAGTTACCAATTACTTTTTACAATTTAAAATGTCTAAGAATTTGGAAATCTTTCCTGTTATTGGATGTTAACTAGAAGTACAATGATATTAATTATATGATATTAAACAATTGAAAGGAATTGCGAGAAATGTTACGGTGTTACCAATATGTGAAAAGTAATTTGATTACTTTTTAAATGGAATATTTAATGCAGCTGCTAACACCACTGTTATCTAATGCTGTTACTCCCAGCGCTGGTCTGGAGTCAAGTCCTCCAGGCCCTGATAATAACCTGATCTTTGGATTCAGGTGTTCAGGTAGAAACATCTAAACGGTGAAGGAACTTTGCTTTCAACCAGACAGCAGCTTCAGTTCTAATTCATGCAGGCTGTTCTTATCTATGGAGATAAATCTGTTTTTTTCTTTCTTCAATCAAAAAAATATGTTGTGCCCAATTTCAGAATCTTAATGCAATGTTTCAAAAAAATCTTTTCTTTTTTCTATAATAAATTTTCATCATTCAAATGATTCCATTTTTATCACAAAGAAAAAAGAAAACTTTTCAATTCTATTCAGTTTATTTCTATCTCTCCAATTCACAACCCGTCATCTCAGGTCACTTTCCAGTTCACCAGATCATCCAGTCAGATTGATTCAAAGTTTTCTATCTAAGGAAAACCAGCTGATTGCATCGACTCATTGACTCTTCAGCAATCCCTCACACTAAGCATGCTTGTAGCGACAGTGGAGAGGAAAAACTCCTTTTTTAACAGGAAGAAACCTCCAGCAGAACCAGGCTAAAACTTTTGTTTTGCACATGTCAGAAATCTTTGGTACGATTCTCTAACTGTTTCCTTTGGTTGAACTGAAAGAGTTTTGAGTTAATTAGACATGCTAACAACACATTATTGTGTATAAATACTGAGGAACAAAAACTTAACTTTGCTGATTGGATGTGTAGCGACTTCCATCCACCAACAGAGCCGCTGCTGGCGCTGTGACACGTCTCCAAGAAGCCATCTTGAGCCAAACTTCTTTTCTTTCTTATTTATTTTCCAAAAAGTTACAAATAATGATGAGGGTCAACAGAAACGTTTGACAAAACCTCTTCACTGGGTGCACTCCTGTCTTCTAAAATAACAAGGGACCACACCCACTAATCAATCACCCCAGCTGTGGGAAGATTTCAACACCTGTGCCACCAAAATAATTAACAAAATATAAAACCGTTAACTTTGGCTCTTACAGGATGCTCTAACAAACTTTATTGATAAGAAACAAGAAAAACTAAGATGTAAAAATATGAATATGTGTGTTTATTCAAAAGAATACACAAAAGAATCCATGAATTCAAAAAATAAATCAAACAATACATCTAAGCTCTGAAAAAAACATCCAAAAATAAATAAAGATTTCGCTAAATTAAGTGTATTTACCCTTAATTGAGCAGATAAATAGGATGATCTGCCAATGGAATGAGTGTCTTTACTCTTAAAATAAGATAATTAGATGAAAAACACTTGGAATGAGTAAATGTGACTGATTTTTCTTATTTTAAATGTAAATTGTCTTGTTTTATTAGCAAAGTGTCTCACTTACCTCCTCAAATCATGACAAAATTCACTTATTTTAAGCAAAAATGACTTTTTTAGATTTCTATTTTTTTCAGCATTCAACATTCAACACTTTACTAAATGTTTAATGTATAATACATACAATCTTTATATTTCCCTCTTGTTTTAAATAAAAACAGGCGGCTGTAAAAAGCCGCTGGCAGAATTATTAGACTAAACCTGAAAGATGAAGTGATCAGAAGATTGAAAACAGTTTTTAATCCTCCAGAGAGACTGAAGAACCAGGAAAAGCTCGAAAAGCAGGATAAAGAGGTTCAGTAAATGTGGCGCCGAAGGTTCGAAGGTGGATGAGTTTGTCAGAGGACACTATGTAGAAGGAGAGCGTCCCAGACGGATGGTCCAGATAGACGCCCACTCTGTCGGAGACACAGGAGGATTGTGGGACATCTTTCCTTTTGTCACCATGAAACCCAAAGTAACCGTTCTTTGAACAGTAAAGAGTCCAGGACTTATCATTCCCACCAAGCAAACAACTGACACTGTTCCCTTTCCTTTCAATCCCTCTGTAAGTCACTCCGATGCTCACCATCCCCTCCCATTTAACCTCCCAATAATGGCGACCGGTCAGAGCTTCTGCACACAGCAGCTGGAGCCAGTGGTCAAACCTCTCCGGGTTCTCAGTATACGCTTGGATCTCGGTCATCGCTGTCACCTTTCTGTTGTTATCAGATAGTTTGAGGTTTCTGTGTGCCGTTTCTGAATCCAGAGTCAGTCCACGAGTATCTGCGGTTTAGGAAAGTTACATCATTCAGGATAAATATGTTTGTTTCATATGTTTTTCAGATAATTTAGGTTAAAGCAGACTTACACTTTCTCAGTCCTGCCTGTAGCGTCCATTTTCCACCACAGTCCGTTCTGAAGAGGAAAAAGAAAACTTCATTTTCTGTCATCAGATTATGGACATGTTCAGGAAACAACAAGGGCAATTTAGAATGGGCTGTGTGTTAGAGTTCCCCCTCTTGATCTACCACAAGGGGGCGCAAGTGGGTCTTGTTCCATAAACCATGATATTAATGGGTTGATGTTGGCCAGGTCATTCCACAAGGTGGCTATGGCCTTCCCTAGCCACCCTCTGGTGACGCCACTGTCTGCAACTGACTTGTTCTACGACATTTCCCCCAAGACAGTATTACACGACACTCCTACAGAGGTGTAGCTTTCTCCTAACAGGGTGTTTAAAGTCGTAGGAAAATCATATTTCAATGTCAAATCATTCTGGCTTAAATATATATATAAATGTACTCTTTATCGGACAATATTGTCACAAAAGTTAGAAAATTTCTATTAAAAAAATGCTGTCTTAAAATCTCTTTTGTTTCTTCTCCATTATCCTATGCAGGCCAGTTAGTTCTACATCAGCCTGAACACCTAAATTCGGCCATTCATATATCAACGGTCATCCGTCAATCATATTTTTTCGGTCATAGCATCTTGATTCATATGTCGCAGCTAATATACGCAACGGTTGAAATCAGAAATCAGAATCCTTTCCTTTCCCATTGAGTTGTGTCCCAGTGTTCACGGGGTTGGACGTCTGTGTCTTCGGCAGGTGTAGAGCTAACAGAACTGTTGTGTTCGCTTTTCCTTCTTCTTTTTATATTTATTGAATTTACCTTTGGGATTAATTGATTCTTTAATTGAAGAGTAGGAGGGAAGGAGGGCCGACCGAAGGGATGGGTGGATGGATAACATCTTCAAATCAACCTGGATTTTATTCTGTAAAAGTTCAAAAAATATCCACTGGACTTGGTTTCCAAGATTTGAAGATGTTTTGCCACCACCAGGAAGCTTTCTCAATTCAAATGTCTGGATCCGCAGTGAGTTTGAGTCTTATATAGACAAGGCCGTGTATCGCTTGGAAACATGCAATGGTAACCGATGAATGGGTCGTTTAGTTCCATCGTTAGCCTGTAATATCTGAAACCTGTCTATGATTGTTAAGAGTCGGTCGTTAAGGAGGTATTGTTCACCGGCTGGAGCGGGTAGGTCCCTCGTTCCTCTATGATGGGGTGGGGGGTTTGGTGATATCTGGAAGGGATCATGTCTATGATTGAATTGTATGTTTTTGGAAGCTGGAATCTGAGTCCACCACCTCTGTTTAAAGTTGTTTTTTCTCTCTTAACATAGATGGCTTCCTTCATGCCCCCCTTAAACCACCTATTTTGTTTATCCAGAATGTGAACATTCTGGTCCTCAAAAAAAATGTCCTTTGTCCACAAGGTGTAGGTGTACTGCGTAGTCTTGTCCAGACGAGGCCGCTCTTCTGTGTTGGGCCTGGAGAGGTGGCGAAACATCTTCAAATCTTGGAAACCAAGTCCAGTGGATATTTTTTGAACTTTTACGGAATGACTATGACCTGGATGACTGAGAATCTTCATCAGCAACCTGGATTTTAGTTTCTCTAGCTGCAAAGCATGGAACTCATAATAACTACTGAATTCTATAGAATAATAAAAAACAATGGGTGCTTAATGAGTTAAAGTGTTTAAAGCATGATTCTAAATGAGGGTGTAGAACGTCGGTGTCCTTAGCTTTCAGACCACCGTCTCTTGTGGCTACAGAAATCTTTACATACCTGAGTGTCTCCAGTCTCAAATGTGAAAGGAGCTTCATCCCTGCTTCTCCTGGATGATTGAAGCTCAGGTCCAACTCTTTTAGATGATAAGGGTTGGAGGTAAGTGCTGAGGCAATTGAAACAATGCCTTCCTCTGTGATTAGGCAACCTGACATCCTGTAAAAACAGCATCAGGCCAACATAAGACTTATGTTATAAGACATGTATTTAACCCCTTGGTGCCTGAATTTATACACATGTATATACATTTTAGGGTATATACATATATTTTTGCACAAAAATATATAGAAATCCGGTTTACTGCAGATTTGTGAGAACAGTTATCAATGATAATATATAGACGCTTTTTTTCTGGTTCTGTTTACCCCCTTGAGCCCAACAGTCCCGGTACAGGTTCCACTGACACCTGCTCATGTTTATCTATTTATAGAAATGTCCAAAACACAGTCACATGGTGTTTCATCCACACACCTTTTACATTTTGTAAAACATCTTTCAAAAAAATACTTTTTGTTTTATAGCTGTGTAAACAAATACAAGGAGATTTAAAATTCCACCTTACATGTGTGACTGCGGGAGTAATGCATCAGCAGGTATTCATTTTTGGCCTCGCCCCCTAATGGCCGCCATCATTGGAAACTAGAGGCTCAGATCTTTCCAAGGAGGGGTTGGAGGTAATCATGCAACCATTTCAGGTGATGTAATCGGCACGTGTCACATAAGCTTGCTCTGTTATTCTTGTTTTCTATTCGGTTTGGTGATATTATTGGTAAAGTTCAATGAAACGGCTAAATCTTGATGCTTTGCCGTATGCAGAAGGTCTCCAATAATGTAAATCAGCTCATTTTTCTGGCCAGATTCCCTTTTATTAGTAGAAAAATGCATTTGGCACAATTTGGCCACCAAAATCCCATTTCCTTCTATCACACTGCCCACTAAAACCTTTGTGCAACAAACATGCTTCAATTATTCAGTCCAAATTCGTCTTAGTTATAATCAAGATGTGGATCTACAAAGTCTGGTGTGATTTGTGTTTTTTCCTTGAATGTTAGTAAAGGTTAAATATTAAAGTGTGCCGGTTTTTCTTGCTGAATAATGGTGATTAGTGAGAAGCTATTGTTCCATTCTTTATGCTGAGATGTAGGGAAAGGAAGGAAGTTTGAAAAGGAGTTTCCTCCCTAGGTTAGATAAGGGGGAAACATAGATTATCTGAACATATATTTATGTCTTTTGACGAAGTGTTTCTCTTGGAAAGACTCAATGTTCGTGTGTAAGGAATCTTTATAATGCAAAGGTGGGGGAGGACCTAGTCAGAATCACACAGGGAGCTGTCTTTAGCTTATCTGTGTTGTTCTCCTCTGCAGAGCGGAATAAAACTTTTTCTTCCTTGCAAATCATCTCCCGGTGCTCATTTTTACTCCACACTGGGCTTTCATGATGTTTTGCAGGGTTTATTTTCTCTTTGTTTAATCACCTATAAATCAGACATGGACATTTAAAATAGTGGCTCCACCTGGAAATTATTCCTCAATGCCTTTCTGTCACAAAAATACAAACAACTGTATTTACAATTTAAAGTTTGGGAGCTGGACTTGCTTTAATCCACGTATGTAATTTCAGGTGGAAATTGCTCCTAAGACCCTCAATTCTTAAGGAGTTAAGTTTTCATTTTGGGTTCTCAGTTATGCTTTATTTTATGTTATTCTGTGTTGTTGTCAAAATTTATATCAATTTTGAATTCTTAGCTTTAGACTGAATCCCAAACCACCCCCTAACCCTCAACTTCCAATGAAGTCTCACACGCAGCTGTGATTGAAGTTGGGGGGTATTAATGAGAATGGGACGACCTCTTTCATCCAGTGGAAAAGGAAAGGAGTCATTGCTACGTAAACACAAACGTTTACGGTCAAATAAAACTATTTCATAGAGTACCTTCCTTTCTGAAATTAAAGGAATAGTACACCCAAAACATGATTAGCCTTCATTTTCTACTCACCCCCATGCTGAACAACACTCTGGAGTACTTT